AGCACGCGCGAAGCCTATCAAGTATCAATAATCTACATCCGATCAATGCTTATCATATGCGAACCATCGCCAGAATGTCCGTGGATCACTCGTCAGGTGTCCTTTTGCACCGTGCGAGCCAGGCTTTGGTGGTTCGCGACTTTGCCCTCCGTTAGAACGAGCGACTTGATACAAGGCGACATGCAGGGCAATAATTTACGTACGATCTAATCTTTGTTCAAATCCGAATCGTCATCGTCGTTTGCGTTTGTGCTGGGTGGTGTAAGTTGTGATGTGGGCAGCTTCACGTTTCAGGACCACACTTGCAAACCCAGACTGCAACATGTGCTCTCTAGGCCCGGAAACACTTCTATCCATCAGTCGCTGCGGCGAAAAATCGAACCGTTCAGAACTGCTATAATATTGTTCATGTCCACCTACAATACCAAGCACCAAAATAATTTAATCCATCTTGTGCTGGTCACTCGTTAATTGTACTGCCACTTTTTTTCTACCTTACCCAAGATCTTTTCACAACTACAACTTCCATCATCAGCTTAATCATAATCTTCTACAATATGTACTTCTCTACTATCCTTAGCACTGGCTTGTTCGCCGCAACAGTCCTTGCTCACGGCAACATCACAAGCCCTCCAGCTCGCCTACCCGGCCCAGCCATGGCAAAGGTCTGTGGCCAAGCCGCTGTCACAGCCATCAACGCCGACGGCACCGGACCGCTCGAAAACATCCCCAGCAACGGCTCACCGAACTGCAACATCGGCCTGTGCAAGGGTGCTCAATTCGCCGACAACCAGAAGAACGTTCAGCAGTACGCACCTGGTCAGCAGGTCAACTTCGCTGCTGTACTCCCTATTCCCCACGAGGGGCCGTGCAACATTTCCATCATCGACACTGCCTCCAACACAATGGTCGAGACACTGCTAGTCTTTGATTCGTACGCGGACGAGAACCTGGCTCAGCTGCCCCTCAACAACACACAGTTCAGTGTCACTATGCCGACAGACCTGCCGGCTGGATCGTGCACGCAACCCGGAGCTTGTACCATGCAGTGGTTCTGGTTTGGTACCAACGCACAGCAGACGTACGAGAACTGTGTCGACTTCGTCATGACCGCATAGACGACTGTTGCGGTCGGGGAATGCACTGCAGAGAAGAGTATGTTGTGTTTACGTGGAGTGCGTCAAAAGTTGTATCCATAGTATATAGCTCGCATACGATACCCTAGAATGTCTTACGCTTCCATTGAATTAATGTCATCGATTTGAATCATGCTCTCCAAGTGTAAGTGATTTTGCAGCCTTGGGATAGCCTTTGTGATCGATCTCCTGGAGAGCCATGCTGATTGAACATATGGGATGTGACAGATGTTCCGATTTGGTTCCTTAGTTCTAAGATGCGGATGGAGTTGACTCGAGATGGGCAAGCACTGGATCAGATGGGCGGCGTCGGAAATTCAAGAAACCGCCCTTAGGATTATCAAGGGGCGGGCACTTAATGAGAATCCCGCAGGTGAGCATGCTTCAACCCTCTTGACTCTTTGTTTACGTGTAGCGCAAGGGTTCTGGGCGTGGCCGACCGATAATGCAAGGAGTCGACGATGAACGAGCCGGGGACTCTTGATAAACTACGCTGGTCATAACTACTGGTCGTTTGATCTCTGCGCATCTGTAATATGTCGTGAGCAGCTCCACGCGCTGTTGGAAAGGGCAGAGGACGCCGGGGTAGCCGGACCTGCTTCCACGATGAATATTGTTGATTAGTCAATACACGTCAACTGCGAATTTCCTCCGAAAGTAGCTGTCCGACACGCGAGATGGCTTCTCCAGAACCGACGCGTTGAGCGTAAGGAGAACCCTACCTGGGTGAAAGCAAGCTGGAAGTCGAATCCATGGTCACGATCAACTTTTCTGTATGCCGACCGGCGCAACAACGTCCGGCGTTGGAAACAGATCTGCCACCGAATTGTAGGCGAACATCGATATTATGTAGTCTGTAGTAAAACCTGTCTTGTTAGTGTTCGATCATTCCCGCGACTGCAACGAGGGAAGGTATCGCGTCAAATGCTGAGTTGAGGAAGACGCTCACTTAAGATGCACTACCTAGCCGTTGCTGGTCGCTCTAAGAGCCGCCATCCTTTACATGCTCTCGAGGTTTCCATGCTCATTTCCTTCGACTCGGAAGTACCTGGTCTCTGGACACCGGAAGGATCTTGGGGGCCGCAGGACGTGTGGAGTGCAATTTGCCGGCAATTGTGGTTCGCCGAATTTTTAATTGATTGAGAGGCCGTGTGCAGGGACGCTGCCGTTTCCAGACAACGCACAGTCTGTTTGAATCTCAATAGATCCATCGAGGCGGTCCACTTCCCCCCATACGTCTGCAACAGAGACAATGCAATCTTGGTTGAACATTACCGAGCTTGCAACCACGCCCAGCTGCAGCAAATCGTGACAGCTCGTCAAGTCTTGAACGACCAAAGGATCCAGCCTTATCTTCAAAGCGGACTGATATCCAAGCCTGACAGAGCTTCGTCGAGGAGCCGGATGTGTCAAAAACGTCGTGGAGGCGCGCGCTATCGTTGACCCACCGTGTAGGTCTTTGGTGAAACAAGCCAGGTCTGAAGGTTCCAAGCGAGGCACGGCGAACGCTGCCGCCGGAAAAACGTCAGCGGTGCGGGCAGTCGAAACAAATAGATGAAGGCTCGGCCAGACGTTCATGCATCTCTGTTCGTCCAATGGAGAATTAGTCTTACTGAAGCTTGAGATGACGCGACGTGACGACTTCGAATACAGTTGTCAGGCCTCGCCCCTCGGTTACCAGTAGCTAAGCGCTAGCGCTCGGCCCCCCTTCTCCACGTCTGGCATGTTCACTTCATCCTTTTTCTATCGGCTCAGCAAAGATAATAGAGCAGACTGGTGCAAGCACGCTAGTTGACAGCATTGCATCGTTGCCACATAGTCCCGAGCCTTTGCTTTACGGTGGGTGCATAGCCACGTTGGCTGCTGAATCGTTTTTTCATGCGACGCAACGCTGCCTCCTCTCATTCAAGTTGGTGTTTCGACTGCAGCAGATGCCTGCGTCGATCAGGAACTGTTTACCAAATGTGCTATGGCTTTGCCGCCCGTCCCATCGCCAAGTATCTGAAACAAGCATCGGGAGGAATTCGACCTCAGTACCCTGAACGCGTAGTACAATCAAGCTTTGGACGACAGGCTCCATCCCCATTTGGTAGCAGTGCCCGGTCAACTTGACAGTTCTACAGGGCTAGTGTTTACCCACAATGTTCCAGGGAGTGCAGCTACTGGATAGGTATAAAGGTCACTTTGTACGCCCCAACGTTGTTTTCTCATCACATTCATTCAGTCATTTCGACAGGTCATTCTTTTCACATTCACTCACCCTTCATCGATTGAAGCGGATAACATTCTTTTACACCTTCGTTGATCTCGAAGCTTGCTTTTGAACACCATTCTTTCAACCAACCAAACTTTTCAAACCCCAAATCATCAACAATGCCTTCCAAGATTCAGGTCGCTGCCATGCTTGGCGCTTTTGCCGCCTCCGTCAACGCCCACGGTCACCTTGCAGCCATCAAGGTCGACGGCACTGACTTCACTGCCTACGACCCCTCGTTCCAGTACCAGAGCCCTCCTCCCGAGGTCATCGAGTGGTCTTGCCCTGAGTGCCAGGACAACGGCTTCGTCGATCCCTCCATGTACACCGACGCAACCAAGATTGCCTGCCACAAGGACGCCACCGCTGGTGCTAAGGTCGCCAAGGTCGCTGCTGGAGGAAAGCTTGACATCCAGTGGACCACCTGGCCCGAATCCCACGTTGGTCCCGTCATTGACTACCTGGCCAAAGTTGACGATGCCACCTCTGCTAAGGCTGCCGACTTGAGCTTCTTCAAGATCGATGAGGCCGGTTACGAGGGCGGTGAGTGGGCTGCCACCAAGCTCATCAAGAACAACCAGACCTGGTCCGTTACCGTCCCGAGCTCCATCGCCCCCGGCCAGTACGTTCTCCGTCACGAGATCATTGCCCTCCACTCCGCCGGTCAGGAGAACGGTGCCCAGAACTACCCCAAGTGTAAGTCGTAACCCATATCCCAACCATATACTACATGCTGACTAGGCCTCAAGGCATCAACTTGGAGGTTACCGGTTCCGGCACTGAGACCCCCGCTGGTGTAGCTGCTGACAAGCTCTACACCCCTACCGACCCCGGCATCAAGGTTGACATCTACTCTGGCGACCTCAGCGCCTACAAGATCCCCGGTCCCGCACTCTTCAGCGGTGCCAGCTCCGGCTCCGGCTCCAGCTCTGGCTCCAACAACACCTCTGCTGCCTCCCCTGCCGCCACCTCTGCCCCTGCCGCCTCTTCTACCCCCGCTGTCCAGAACAACGCCGTCTCTACCCCCGTTGCCTCTGCCACCGCCACCGCCGCTGCCTCCTCGGCCGCTGCCGCTGCCCCTACCTCCACTGGCAGCTCTGACTCGTCCCTCCCCGAGACCTTCACCCTCGAGACTTTCGTCTCTTGGTTGGAGAAGGCTGCTGGCTCTTCCAGCGCTAAGGCTCGCCGCCACGCTCGCGCTTTCCGCGGTTAGATCAGCAGCGTGATGAAAGACATGGTCTCCTCTTAATAGGGTGATATGCATTATGTTGGTCGATGGTTGAAGATAGAAGGTGTTCTTCAGTTCTTGTACTTAAACTTTACCATAGTCGAAATGGCTTACGCTCATTCCCTGTCGCTAAACTCAAGTAACATTGACGTGACTAGTGATACAGATTTGACTTTTGATGTAACAGCCTGCTTATCGTTGAGTCAACAATGCTTGTATGTACGATCTACTTGTGTGGTGACACAAAGACAGAGACTCTTTTTTGAGGCTGATCATTGGTGGACTGGAAGGATATGGGTTCAATAGCCTGATTGACTCGAGCAGTATACAGTCTGTGTATATTAATTGTACAAATCACGATTTGTTCATCAACAATACCATCTCCGGTATAGTCCAGAGGCTAGGATATTCCGCTTTCACTTCTTCGGATCTGAAGCACCGGAAAGACCCGGGTTCGATTCCCGGTACCGGAAAGTATTTCTTTTTGCATCATCACCAACCTCGTGCGTGGCAGTTATCTCTTTTTGCTCTATTTGCATCAATTCTGAAGGATATGTCCAGAACCAACAGCTCTGGTGGAGTGGGCGCACGGTTAGATGCATTTTCAGTGTCCAAAACTTTGTCATTTCCTTGTTTTCAAAATCTGCCTCGTAGTTATCCCACGTCTGCGCCACGTAAATCCTCCACCCCTCAGCCACCAAGTCGTGTCTCTCATCTTCTATTCAAAACCCCTGCCCCCACGAAAACCTGGATTCTAGCAAACCCAAAATGAGGCCAAGGCCCGCCAATGAAAGTTACCGGAGCCTCTGCAACGCCAAATGAAAATACGGAAATCTCGGAAATTGGGTATCGCGCGACAGAGCAAATTGCGGCTTTGCCTGTGCATCTCTCAACGACGGATGTGCGCCTGCGCACCGATAAGCCTGTCCGTGGCTTTTGATAAGGCATAAGTGACCCTAAGACATGTCAGCTTTGAATGCTGCGGCCATGATCGACTGCCTAAGTGGCTTTTGCTTGCGAGGGTAGTAATTGCTAACTTCCAATACCCAATATCTCTTCGCTGAACTGTCAAGAGGACTTTTCGTTCATAAGAGAAGACGCTGGGTGGCTGTGCTGCATCAAGCCACTCACCTAGGGACCCTTGTGTAAATCGCTTGTGTTCACCCAGGTTGCATGTTCCACCTGTAACATGCATGGTTGCCTGAATGCGGAAGTGTGCGGATTCAGTTTGTGTGAATGGCGCCTGATCCCTCGCAGACATGACACTTGGTTGTGCCGTCCCGTTTGCAACTTGTGCAGTTCTTGCCTGTGCCATTGCACTCATCGCATTTGATCGTGCCGAGTCCGCGGCAGGTCGGGCATTCCTTCATGGTGTGTGACGGGCTGAATTTCTCAGGCTTGGGAGGGAACGAAGTAGTTGGAAGGGAGTAGAAGAGTTGGAAAGGATCGCCGATCAACAGCTCGAAAGTTTGAATGGAGTAACAAAGGAATGCTTCGACAAGAAGAGGGAGCAGTTGCTTAAATTGACATGCAGCTTTCAGGTCAGAGTTTCGAAACAAAAATCCAATCTTCAATCTGCGCCACGGTCTTTATATAATCTCCTGTGAGAGTTGCGCACAGGGCCGGTCCGCACTCACCCTCAATCTTGCTTGTGAGCACGATAGTGAAGCGAAATCGTGTGCCCTGCTTGGCCACGAGATCAGGCAGCTTCATTGGGAGCTCACGGCTCGCGTAGCGGGGTCGATACGGGGGTAAACCACTCACGTCTTGAAAGAGGTGCTTCCAAGGCTAGGGTAGGTCCAACATGGCGAAAGCATGACGGTGGTTGCGCAGGGTCCCCAGCGTGTCCTCATCTTGTCCATCTCATCCGAAGCACATACCGCTCCTGTACGGTGCAGCATTACAAGTCGGTCAAACCAGAGCGCAAGAACGCCTGATATGCTTGGCGGTTCGACCTTCTCAAACAGCTTGCGGCACCGCCACAACCGGTCTCCACCCGTCCGTTTGACCGCGCTGCCGTGCCGCAGTTGATCGATATCACCATCACTTCAACGTACAGACCTATTAAATTGCGGAAAGCCATTTAGTCTTCTAGCGTGTTTCTTATGATTCCCCACAAGCAAATCACGTTGCTGATCCGGATTTGCAAGGGTTTTGTGCTTGGGCTGAACCAATTTCCCTTCCCAGATGCACGAGGTGCAGCTCGATATTTTGGAAAAGTGGTGAGCCAAAAGGGAAATGTAAAAACCAATGTTCATGCTGACGTACCGCACGCTCCTCCACGAGTGGTCTACACGACTCGGTCGCAAATTCGTAAGATTGTGGTGTTACGGCACACACGTGGCAGCTGCAAGAACTTTAGTACCTAGGTATGGCAGCACCGAGGTAGTGATAGGGCTGCGACGTGATTGGGCGAATGTTAATGCTAGTGCAATTGTCAGGCGCAAAGGACGATGAAGCATTGTTCAGATACTGCCTCGTGTGTGAGACCGCAGGGGAAAAAGAGATGGCTTTCGGGGATACCGTAAGCTCCGTGCAACCACTTGGAGCGGAGACTACACTGCGAGTGTTAACACAACGGTGCCGATCATGCGATAAAAGCTACGAGGTCTCAAATTCATCGTAACCTGAAACAATGACCTTCCTGTAGTGGATTCAAGCCACTTGTGTAATTGTGTAGCTCTTTGCACAGCCTCGAATCCTGCCGTCACTAGGTAGCACAGCGGAGGTCTACACAAGGCGGTCCCGCTTCACAAAAAAGCACGTGAAGCTGAATTTGGCTCGCAGCTGCATGTCTCACTCAACAAGAGTGCCAATGATTAAGGACCGAGAATGGATCCTAGGAAGAACCACGAGTGGAATGCAGACGAAGGTCAAGCACAGCCACACGAGCCCTCCGAAGGTACACTTTCCAAACAGCAAGAAGTGAGGGCATCTGACAGGTGTAACGATTACGCAGTACAGCATAACTGAAACGTGGCAAGCAACGTATGTTGCGCAAAAAGGTACGCGGCCTTAGGCGTTCAATGGAACTCGCCATGTTTGGTGTTTCAATAGTCATAGGCTCACTTCAGTCTTTGGAGGTTGTTCTTCAAGAAACTTACGTAGAGGGCCACGTCATCCACCTCACAAAGCACCAAACGAGAGACTCCCCTTGGATTCTCACAGAGTGCCTAGCCGTGAAGATATGACTGCTAGCGTAATCGTTTGCTCCTACCGTAGTAGTGCGATGAATCCTTTTGTCTAAGGCCGGTGTTCAAGACTCTACGCCAGCGACGTACTTTGTCGTTCCTTCGCATTCTCTTCTATGGGTTGCAGTACGCCGCGACGGGTGCGGCTGCACTGTCTAGTGCCTGTGGAATGGTAATGCGCGTGGTGTGGACCGGTCGGTATACTAACGTCATGATATTGCAGCCATTCGTGCCTGATAAAGTAATCCAGTGGAAGGATTGTGTTGGTCACTGAAATGGCTCGGTCGCGTGCGTCCATTCAAGCGTGCCAGGAGCTTGTGTGTCGTGCATGATTTACTGGCTCTTGCACTAAAGTAATTGCAGTCTTAGTGCGTGCATTGGTCTTCGTCCATATTTTGATGATCGCTGTCGTGTTTCTTGCCATGCAAGGTCTTCTTGCCAGCCTCCAGACTCGACATCTAGCTTACACACTTTCGAGCATGTTACATTACCTTGTCGACCTGTCACTGGGTCTGCGACCTTGTAATTTTTGTTTCTAACTGTTCCAGCAGGGTGTTGCGAGTCAGTTATGTTGTTGGAAAGGCTTCCTTCAGCCATTGGAGGCTGGCGATGACAAGGCGCAGGGAACGGGTGAAAACCAAGACTGACGCGCTTGAGCTGAGACGCGCCGAGACTTGACCTCCACCCCCGCACGCTTTGCCTTGGTTTACCCCACTCCTATCTCATGTCCCGCCATTCCATGCATCTCTCTGTATATACTCCGCCAGTCTTTTAGACTTGGTAGCTACAACATTTTCATTGTATCGTCAAGCGCATTGCCGCACAAATCGGAAGGATGGAAAAGTAGACGCAACATCGGTCCTTCATTCAGTGTTTGTCGGTGATCAAGCAACGACTACGATTGATGTTCCTTTAATGCGGTCTTGTCCTGGCTTTGATACCTTGGCTAATTCTTGTCAATACAAGAGAGCAGCCTCCGGACAAGACAACGGACCCTCTTGGCTCCTCAGGCTGGCTCCATACAACGACCGTAATGCTGCGGCATAGCACAATCAGCATGCAATTAAGCACTTGGCACGCAATCGGTATCGCCGTCAGAAATCAACACGAGTATGCGCGCAGGATCAGCGCTCCAATATGAGGGACACACTAGGCTCCTGGGCAGAGAGGTAACTTCTTGTACAGCAGATCACTCCAAGTATTTAGCTGTGGTCTTTCCCAGAATTCACACGCTCGTGCCACGTCTATTCTCCCTCTTTCTATGGACCTTAGCCGAGATATCTAAGCTTCGCGCTATGACAGACCCAAGTAGCGTCAAGCAAGACAGTGGCATCGCTGCTGTCCACCTCAATGAAGGTCGTCGATCTTCTGTGGCCAGTGTCGACTTGAACAAGAATGTAGACGCCAAGTACGTCTGTAGGATTTCAGTTGTTTCTTGTGTCCTAATGCCACCGGTAGAGTCTCCAACCCTCTGACGGGCGTCCCATACGAAACATTGATGCGCGATGTCGAATACTTCGCACGTGAACATGACCTGGAAGATATCATCATTCATCTAAAGAAGGGTGCTCTAGTCGCTCAAGATCCAACCGGGTTTGACAACATCGAGATGCTCATCGAAGAAGACAAACGACACCTTCAGTTCGAGAAGCAGCACAAGTGGAAGCATCCCCTGCAGCTATACGTCACAATCATCGTGTGCTCTATTGGAGCCGCTGTGCAGGGCTGGTAAGTCCCAGGTAAACGTGGACCAATCCCAGACTGCTGATAATTTGATAGGGATCAGACTGGATCTAACGGAGCAAATTTGTCCTTTCCCGTTGAGTTCGGAATAGGGGAGGGTGATACAGAGGGATCTCCTAACCGCTGGACGCACAACTTGCTTGTGGGTCTCGTCAATGCTGGCCCTTACATTGGAAGTGCACTCATCGGCTGCTGGGTCAGCGATCCTTGCAATCACTACTTCGGCCGTCGTGGAACTATCTTCATCTCTGCGATCTTCTGCGTACTTACTCCGATCGGTGGGGCGCTTGCACAGACCTGGGAACAGCTTCTTATCACTCGCATCCTTATGTGAGAACTCATAGAAACGAGCGTTTAAGCGTACGCTAATAACGCGCAGGGGTATTGGCATGGGTCTGAAGGGCTCCACAGTTCCTATCTTTGCAGCAGAGAACTCTCCTGCCCAGATTCGCGGCGCGCTTGTTATGAGCTGGTAAGAAACTTCTATCAACAGAAAGACTACGACTAAGAAGAACATCAGGCAAATGTGGACTGCGTTT